TAGTCCTTAAATTGGCTATCAAGACACAATCTTTTTTGCAATGTTCTCTCCATCTGAGGAATGTCTTATCAACAGGATTCCCATTAGATCATCATTGTCAGTTTTGAGTAAGTTGTAAATAAATGTTTATTTTAAGTCTTCCAAATGGCGTTTTGTTTCTCTACTTGAGTTTCAGTTTTGAAACTTACTTTAATACAGTTTTAACCACTGCAATTTCTTGAAGTTTAATTAATATTTGTATGCTTTATTATACATGCTTCTGATTAAATTAGGCATTTTGATTCTTTTAACACACTTGTGCTAAAATTTGACCAAGGAATACTTTTTGCAATAAATATATTTAAAATTGTAAAGCAACCTCCATAATATGTGTCTATATTGACTTTTTGCAATCTTACATAAGTATAGATGAAATGGCATCATAAAATTCTGAGGCATGCTTGTGCAACTAACAGCATACTATCTTTTCTTTAAGATGGTTTAATCTAGAGTCCAAGCAAGGAAAACGAACTAAAGATAGAGGTGAGATAAAAGTCAACATTCAGTTTATGAGAAACAACATGACGGCAAGTATGTTTGACCTGTCAGTTAAGGATAAAACCAAATCTCCTTTTGCTAAATTAAAGGACAAAATGAAAGGTCGTAAGACAGATGGAACATTTCTGGATACATCTTCTGCAATCATTCCAAGGACTCATACCCCAGAAACTAACAATATAAGTTCCCTCAATGAATTGCAGTTAAAATCAAAGCCAAAAAAGCCTTTTCTTTTGGGACCTCAGCGACTCTCTTTGGCTCACTCAATGTCTGATCTAACTGGACCTCAGATAACTTCAGAAAAAATTAAATCGGGAACAATTGGCAACTCATACCTCTTCAGACGTCAGCTTGAGTCTGTTGGTTCTGAGGATGAAAGTGGTAAGTAAAGATTTCTTAAGACGCAAACTGTTTGAAAAGGCCTTCTAGTAGAATTATTCCAAAGCCTATATCTTTATGCTCTTATTCCTAAGAAAAATATAGCTGCTAAGAATTTGAGATACAATGGAAATCAAATGAATATTATTTTTCATCAATAATTTGTTTTAATAAGTATATATTTTTCATTATTACTGTATTAAGTTTCGTTTCACTGTAATTTGTTTTAAAAATAAGTTTGGGATATACAAAAGTCCAAAGTTCCAAGTTTCCAATGGTTTTATCTTGAAACAGACATTCTGCGTCTTCCATGATTGAAATAGAGTTTTGTTTCAAGCTTGAAACAAACCTTGACAGTTTTGAGTGTTTTGTGCTGTTCTGAATGCTGTGATGGGACATGTTTTCTTGAAGTTGACTTTTCCCAGATGTTGCAGCCTAGCAGTACAGCAGGTGGGACTGATTTATTGAGCTTCTGGAGGGAGTGGTGCAGAATGTGTATAGTCTTGAATCCAATTGACATTAAGATCCGTAGATACATACAAAGATAACAAATCAAAATAGGATAAGTATTTTCATTTAAAACTGAAAATACTTGTCCTATTTTGATTTGTTATCTTTGTGTGCACTTATGATGCTGTGATCTATACTTTAGAATACATTTCAGTACAACTTTTAATGACTTCTAGAGTTTAGTTGTATTACTGGGATGTATTCATGCTGTTACATTTTGCTCTTATTCATGCAAGAATTAGGAGAAGCACTTTGTTCCTACATGTGCTTTTTCCTAGATTTGTGCAAAACTTGTATTTGATTTTGTTAATAATAGAAATAAAACATGGACTTGTGCTTGAACCTGATTTTTTGGTTATTGTTTAAATTTTTTCTTCAGATACCAAAAGAATTTCTATAGGAATTTTTTAATGTTTAAATTAAATTAAATTGTGGCCAATTTTGCAACAGGTTGGATGGCAGATAGCAATCAACGTGAGTTAATATTTCAACTACTTTTGGAGGAAAACAAAGAGCAAGGGCGTTCTGCTGAATTCCCATTGCTTTCTTTGATTAAATCTTCTAAATAGTTTTAAGTTTTATCCTAGTGGAACATAGTCATCTCAGTTGGAATGTTTCTGTTTAGACTGTTTTGTTCAAGCTTGAAGCAAAATCCGTTTTTCATACTGTGTATATTCATATTATACACCATCCTTAAATTAAATTTTTTTAGATTGGATCACACATGTTATTAAAATATAAAAACAATAACAGTGAAAAAACAACAAAATTTTAAACATTTGAATCAGCTGGAAAGACCTAGGTAAAACAAAAAAGTGTAGTATGTGTTAACCCTATTAGCTAGTTACTATTTACTCTCCCCAATGGAGTAATAATTACAATTTGTTCAGATCATTGTAACACAAGCATTATATTGTAGTGGGAGAATTTATTATATGGTCAAAGGCTTATTGAAACTGTTCAACAAAGCTAATATGTTTATGGTCTATATTTGTAGAATAATAGTTATTGGAATAAACTTATTATTTTAACTTATTGCAAATAGTCATACAATATTTTGTATGTATATGTGTGTGTTTATATGTACCTTTTCTATTTATACACTTGAGTCCAGTTGCATATTAATAACATTGTTTTCAGGAAATATAAAATCTCCACACAGGCGGACATTAAGTGCAGATGCCACTAAAGTGAATCAACCCGACAGCACAGTTGATGACAGTGACTCAGCTTTTGTAGCTCAAAATGATCCTTTTACCAATGTGAGTGCTTCACTGCCTCAAAAGTTTGCCACACTGCCAAGACAGAAGAATCCATTTGAAGAAAACCCTTTATCATGGGAACAAAATGTGGGCTTATTTTCAAAACCACCTGAAATAAAAAAGGACAATAAGAAAGAGAAAAAGGAGAAGGTTAGTCTCTTTGAAAGAGTAACTGGAAAGAAAGAAGGCAAACGATCAGATAGACTAAGTAACGGAGGATCAGAAGGCTCCTCTGATTTGAAATCACCCAGTATTTTTGCTGAAAGTCATCAGGACAGCTTTGATTTTGATTCCACTAATCCCTTTACTACAAACCTCAAGCCAAAAAATATGCTGCTGTCTAGGTAAGTTCCCTGGTTAGATATCTTGAAGTTGACGTTTACTTTTTTATTAAAATGTATTATTTTTATTCAAGGAGAACATTATTTAATTTTTAAAAATAAATATTACAGACCTGGATTGATACTTCAGTGCTGTGAAGGAACTAGCCTAGATAGGCATTGTGGAACAATCTGTCTGTTACAAACAGCTTTGCCATTCTATTATATAAAAGCCAGTGTACTCTTAAGATGGAGGATTATCTAGCAAAGAATTAAGGACCCCTTGTGCTTTAAATGATCAAGCAAAGCTTCAGTATATCCATTATGCAAAGGCTGAATATGTCTATGCAGCTCTGTTTGGGGAACCAACCTACGTGTTCAAGTTTTTTAAATGATTGAGATGCACTAACTTCCTCAGAAGATATCTCCCTTTTGAAAGTGATTCTGAAGCATTGCATAACCTTTATAGACTAAGTGTGTCCTTTAGGTATCTTGATGCCAAATAGTAATGGTGTGAGGTGTGCCCATTTTACAAGATTTCTTGCCACAATTTTTAAGTTAGTAACACAGCTGTTAAATGAACCTGGCTTCCCCTTGATTTTGCTTGTCAGAAGGTTGCAAAAGGTGATCACATGACTCCACGACATTGCGACTGTTATAAATACATGCAAGTTGCCAAGCGTCCAAATTTTGATACCATGACCACAGAAATGCTGCAGTGGGTGTAAGTGTGAAAAGTAATACATTTTTTCTGTGCTGTTACAACTTCAAATGGTCACTAAACAAATGGTTGTAAATCAAAGACTACCTGTACTAATTTATTGAAGTTAGGTGTACTAACCTAATGAACTTTCCAGATTGACTTAAAAGAAAGTTGCATATATTTTTGAAGAATAATATGTTATTTATACTGAAGTCAGTTTACTGCTGTTGAGATTTTTTTATTTCTAAAGAAAGTCTTTTTAAGAAGTAATAGCTTAATTGGCTTTTTGTACACATTGATATAGAATCTATAGCTCAAATGACTAATTCTTTGAAAAACCTACATGAGGTCATGTTGTCCGATAATAACAAAGTTAATGTTTTGTAATCCCAATTATACTTTTCAAAGTTTTCTCTTTAAAGTTCCTTGATCACTTACATTACTGTAGTCTTAATGGCTGTATTCATCATAGTAGCTCTCCAGGTGTTAATCTGTAGCTCTCATAGCAGTCCTGTGCATTGAACATACAGTATTTAAGAACAAATGTCAACTAAAATATTGGTTTTCCATGATACAGATAACTCTGTGTGCAACATTTTTATAAAAAAATGTTTGTTTTTATGCTACACTACAGTAGGCTAATAAACTGATGTGAAAATTTCTCAATTTACAGCACTTGACAGGTGCTAAAACAAAAGCATCTTTAATTTTAATGTGTTGTTAGGCCATCTTTAGAGGGACTGTACAAAGTTATTAACAAGGTCCTCTGAGACAGGAGACAGGTAATTAACAAGACCTAGAGAAAGAGAATTTGGATAATTAACAAGCTCTTAGGCACTGGACACAGGGTAACAAATAGTCCAGTAGTTAAAGGCGACAGGTTGTTACTAGCATGATTGAATGCCAGGTTTGAAAATATGAACATGTGTCTCAGTGAAGTGTCTAATTAGATTATTATGTTGGTTGCATAGTCAACCAGATGTTTGACTGGATTTCACATTTTTGTCTAACAAATCCTTTCCAGGGACATAGGATAGACACCTGTGATCTAGTCTATCTTTCTGCTTGGTAAAGGTTCTATTAAAGACAAATGTTTGTCCAGCCTCAGCTTGAAGATTTTTAGTGAAGGAGAACCTACCATTTCATGAGACAGTCTCTTTTATTGGTTGAAGTGAAAGGGATGCCTACCTTCTGAAGATTAATGGACCATATCTTCCCTGATCAACTGAAATGATGTGAGGCTCCCTTAGATGATATCATTGTCTATAGCGAATGCTGGGAAAACCATTTAATGCATTGGAAAAAGTAGTGACAAGTCTCCAAAAAGCTAGTTTTACAGTAGATCCAACAAAATGTCATCTGGGTTATAAAGAAATCAGATATTTAGGTTTTTTTGGTAGTGAATGGAATCCTAACAGATAAAGAGAACCCAATTGAACAATATAGCTAAAGAGAAACCAGTTATACAACTGTGTGGATCACCAGTATAAATATTGAAAATTCAAAAGTATTCACAAACTTTTAAGCCCACTGTATATCTTATTTAAAAGTGATTATAATTTTATAATTATATAATTTATATAATTATAATTATTATGATTTTCAGCTTTTTTAAAAGTATATGATGGTGATGATGATGTTGATTATGGTGAAATATATTCTAAAAAAGAGTAGTAATTGAAAGATTTTGAATAAGGAACTAAATGGAGGAATAGCTAATATACTTTAGAAAATATAAGTTTTTCCCACTAGTGAAAAATCAAATAAGTGATTTTTAGCATATTAAATATTGTTCAGAGTTCAAGGTTCTGTATTATGGTAATACAAAAAAAGTGGTTTGACTTGTATCTTGTAATCTGTATTAATAGCTTATGTTTTGAAAAGTTATTTTACCACTTCAAACATTTTTAAAAAAACATTTAGGAAAAATTAAATGTCTTAATTTCCATCTGCTTTCTTTATCTTTCTGCTTCCTTTTTGTCTGACAGTCTCAGCAACATTATTTGCTGCATCTGTGAATTTTCATGTTTCTGAATACTGATGGAATTTAATGTTAAGGCATATTACTTTATATCAGGCATTAATTTGGAATACCTTTTCATAAAGTTTCAAATAGTGTTAACATTGCCTACTGTCTTGTGATCTATTTTTCCATGTTTCCAGGGTATATTCCTTGCCTCTCTTTGAAAAATGTTATTCATTGTTGCATATGGTAATTATTGTTTACAAAAGAACTTCACTAAAATTTTTGAATTTTTTTGAATTTTGAATTTTATTAAATTTATACCCCGCCCTTCTCCCGGAGGACTCAGGGTGGCTTACAGCCAGTTTAAAACAATAATACAATACCATACAAAATTTAAAAATGATTAAAAATAAATATTTGAATGAACTACATAATTGCAAATGGAAACTTATATTTAACCAAAGCAAATAATAAAGTATCTTAATTTTAGTAGAATAGATTTGGAAAAGATCATAATTTCAGTTATATTTATATAATTTATTTAATATATATAACAATTATATAATTTTCTCAAATTATTCACTAATTCCAGAACTGTAGCGCACACAATGTTCCTGTTCACCCTGTTTTCTTGAATATTTATTTATTATGAAGTCTTTATATAGTATATGTTTCTGTATAAATTGTATCTTCAATATTTGTTTAATAATATGGTTTGATTTTTAAAATGGACACAGTTTTATGACATTTGTTTAACTTAGTTTATCTTACAGCATATCATCTTGAAGTGTAATGTAAAATAGTCTTTTTAAGGCAGGGAAAGAAAATTTGGGGGAACAAGACCACACTTTTGAGGAGATTGAGGGTCACATTAGGCAGGTTAAGAATGTCAAGTAGGTGAAGGCAGTTTACACATATGCCTGCTCTTGATTTTCTAATAACTTTTTGTGGGGGGCATTGAGGGAGGAGGGGAATCTATTTAACTGTGTAAGTTTATTTCAGGCTTGCTTTAGAGTTTTGTGTTTTCAAGCCTGAAATGGAAGATTGCCTTTTAGCAGTCTCACCAGAAGTCAGAAGTGTGTTTGGGAAAAAAGTTGGGATACATTTGGCAGATAAGGGCAATCATAACTATTAGGTAATATTGATATATAAGATAATTGTAATATTTTTCTAATGTTTTTATTTTGGAAACCTGATCATTTTGGGGTAATTAATTCATATTCTTAAAATGTAAAGGCAAACAACACTCACATAAAAGCATATTGCTACTCTTGTGACCTGCTTTTCTTAAAATACTGTTCACATAGGTTTGCGTCCGCTATACCTGTACTGTTTCTACTTTCCAAACCTCCAGAAGTACTTAGAAGAAAGTTAATTTCTGTTTTCACTTCTATCCACTTGAGATACTGTAAACCAAGAACAGATAGTTTTAACAGCCTGAATATTTACAGCTCCTACAACAAAGATATCACCCCTAAGTTTATAAAAAATGTTAAAAAAAAATTATACAAATAGATGTTTCTTAACTGCCATTGTTTTTTGGCCTGTAGGATAGTCAAATGAAGTCTGGAGATCGGTTTGTAAGTTCCAAATAGGGTTTCTGTTTTTTTATTTCTGTAGTAATCTCTTTTATTTGAACACATATTTGCTCAGTGGCTTCATAGATTTTTTCCAATATAAGTTTACAATTGAGTTCTCCATTTCAATAGTAACTACAGACAGTCGTGTTATCTTTTAGTGGAGGCTATGTTTAATAACATTTAGCCAGTATCGACCCCCACAAATTTAACAGCTGTTGAATTTCTTTGTCTTTTCCCTTTTATGATGATCTGAAGGTCAAAGCCAACCTCAGCATCAAACAAAAAAAAACAGTTGCAATTTTAAATTGCTCCACAGGGTGTCCTCAGTAGAGTATAAAATCTCTTCCCAGACACCAAAAATGACATTGAAAAAATCAAGAAAAAATAGTATTCTTCACATATAAACTAAATCCAGTAATGAAATTCAACAATAAGAATTTTTCAAGACCCCAAAGTGAATAGAAGTAAAAAATAGTCCATAAACAACAAACGCCGCTCTCTCGAAGGGGAATAATTCCCAAAATGCTTTTTACAGGAAAAAAAGAGAAAAGGGCTAAGAGAGGGGAAAAAAGGTCTCATCCAGATCAACCACGGTGGTTCTTTATGCTTAGATGTTCTTCTGACTTTCGGTTACTGCAGCAAAGTGATCGGCCATTTTACTGGCCGATCTTTTCTCTGTCGGCCCTAAGGAGCAATCTCGGACCGCGGAAGGAGCTGCCGTCCTTCCACAGTCGACGAGGGCCTCCTCAATGGTAGTTGCCCCTCCAGGGCGACTTTACAACCCGATTAAGGGTCTACCGGCAGAGGGAAAGCAGCCCGCGAAGAGAGGAGTCTCTCTGCATGGCTGCACACACCGCGATCCGGAACCGGAAGTCGCAATATTGTTTCTTCAAAGGAGAAAACGGCAAACCAGTTATTTCATACATTGTTGAATCAGTACCTATAGGATCATTGCACTGATAACCTTAAACTTATGAAGAGATTTTATTTTACTTTCTTCTGACTTTCTCTTCCTCTCTGATTATACTTTAACAAATTCTTCTGGAAGGAAAACTAATATCCTTATTCCCATCCTAACTGTATTCTTGCTACATAGACACAAAGCTCCAAAGGGCAATCATTATTATTTTTTTAGGACAGCTATCCTTTCGTTGAAAACCTGGTATAAACTACTTCAGCCAATTTTCACGTAGCATTTATTCTAGACAAAGAAGGGCCCATAAGAATCAATGCGTTTTAGTATCATTAAAGTTGGAATAGGGTCAACCAACCCTCAACTTATTCACTCTTAGTATATATGTTTACATTAATAGAAATTTTAAAATGCTACATTCAAATAGTTTTCTATAATGTGTAGTATTTGCATATAATGTATATATAGTTTACTGCTTCTTACTATGACTTTATATAAAGAAGAGCATGTTTATGTTTGTTTTGTAACCAGAATGGTAGAACATTATTACCATGCATGGTCATTTTCTTGAGCTTACATATGGTCTGATAATGGCTTGTAAGGGTTTGAACTCTATTATTACATACAATTCGCGAAGAAATCCGAACTTTCTGTTTGTCTACACGTGTTAAATATTAACACATGTTAACTTTTAAAACGAAAGTGCTGTTTAGAAAAAAAAATCTTCTGTGTCTAATTTTCAAAAATCTGGGGGAAGGATGATGTATGGGAAAAGAGCAACCATTATTTTGAGATATTACATGCTTCTAAATATTTATTATATTATATATATTTTTATTACTTCCATAGTTTTAATGTGAATTCTGAAAACTCTGAAGCATTTCAAAAAACAATGGTAAGTAACTACTTGATTGATGTTCCATTTGATATTTGAGAGGGAATATCCCGTTTAAAGCTTAATTGTTTAAAACTTTGTTGTTTTTAGCAGACTGATTGAACCCTAATTTAATAGTACAAATGTGCAGATTTTCTTTCCTGAATTAATCCAGAATCCCATCTGGATTATTTATTTCCTTCTTAAAATTGATAATTCAGAAACAAGTTGTCTTTTTTGTTGATTTTTTTAACATGTGATATACAGAGATATATTACCCCACAATAGATATGTGGTCAATAATTTAAAGGTATAAATAGCCTGTTTTTCATGAATCTGTGGTAAGTGGCTTCATGAATCAAACCATATATTAAAAGATTGGGTAAAAAGCAGAATCATGCAATCTAATCCCATACCTGATATGCATACTTACATGTTTTCTTAATGTCTTTAGGTACACAGAAAATAACAATTGACTTAAACTGCATAACTTAAAAAAGATGCACAATGTGAATTTGTACTGATATAAATATAGGCCATTTTTCACACTTCTTGAATATGTAAGTGGGTCATATGCACAGGCAGAGTGCTATTTTCTTTTATTTAGGATGGGCAATCTTTTACTGGTTAGAGGCAGCACTTTTTTCTAGAAGCAAAGGTTATGGTGGTTGGAACATTAATGGACAGTGGAAACAACCAAATATCACATTTTGCTTTGATTTGGAAAGATTTTAACTTCTTTTAAGATTGTTTATACACTTTTTAAAATAATCTCCTGCCTTAATAAAATGGGAATAAATTGCTTTATCGGTTTTAGGCATTGGCAGTATATGATGTTATGGCAGCTACAAAAAAATGCTCAAGGGTCATAGCTGCCTATCCTTACTCTATGTTGAAGAAAAATTAATTATCTAACTTTATTTATGTTGCTGTATATTTCTCCCCAGTTTCTTGCTTTCTAATCTGAAGAGATTAACCCCTCTCGGCCTCTATTTTTATTGAAAGGATTCATACTTCTCAACTATATTACCTGTTGTTTTTCACCTTGGATATATTGTTTAATTGAGTGACAAGATGCATAATAATACTGCCTCCTACAGGCTTGTATGTTTGATGGAAATATGAACTTTTATTCATTAAATTCATTGGAATATATATTTTAAGAAGGAAATATATTGGAAGGTAACAGAATTACTGGAAGATGACAATGCATGAGCACTTTTGAACCTAAGTTCCCTAATCCTTTTTCATCCTTTTACTTTTTGTTTATTGGAAGATAATATACTCAATTATTATTTGCTAAATCCAAGTCCTATGGGTCTTTTTAAGTGGTTTTGAAAAGTTAATCCAAATGTGAATTCTAGATTGATTAATAAATATTACAAGATAATAATCAAGAAACATTTATTTATTTATTTATTAAAAATAAACTCAATCATAGAGGACTCCCAGTACTGCACAAAGAGCAATAGCGACAAACCAGAATGAAAAAAGAAAATGTAATTTAGAATTACTGGGGGGGGGAATGCAAGTAGCCCTCACTTTGCAATCCGATTGAGACTGGAATTTCCCTCTCTAAGTGATGTGGTAATTAGGCAAAACAGCATTAGTGAGATCACTGGAGGTTTTTAAGAAGAGATTTGACAGCCCTTTGTCCAGAGTGGTGTAGGATCTCCTGCTTGAGCAGGGGGTTAGACTAGAAGACCTCTAAGCTCCTTTCCAACTCAATTATTCTGTTATTTTACAATAAGTGAGGACTTTCACTAGGCATTCTATGTTCATTTGCATTTGGAGAACACAGTATTTTTGGAATAGGTGGTGATATAGATACCTAAGCTGTGAGATACATAGGATTTTATAGAAATAACCAGCAGCCCGAATTGCACTCAGAAAAACCCTGGTATTCAATATATCTCCCGCAGCATGTTGTCACAAGACTGTAACAAAATAGTCTTGCTGCATTTTATACTACTGGTAGTTGAAGTTTCTGTGCTCTTTTAAGAGCAGCCCCGTGTAAAGCAGTTTGTAGCAATAAGGGAAGTGATAAGGGCATGAGTGACAATCTTTAGTGTCCATGTACTAGTTGGTCAGGGTTTTTACCTATGGACTCCCATGAACTTCATAAACCTTATAAATCATCATGAAAAATAAAAAGAGGCTCTTAAATGCTAGATCTGTTTCTTCAGTTCAAACATGGCAATATTATGGCCTGTTCTATAATAACTATAAAGTTGGTTTTCCCTTGTTTAAAGAGAATGCTATTTGTCCAGACTCAGTTGAAACTGTCACTAATTTAAGAATCAGTTCATTAGATTTGGTGCATTATTTAGGAAGAACTCAACTGAACTCATTGAGCTACCACATTTATCTTTAGAAGGCTTGCATAACAAATGTTATTATTTACCTGGTACTTCAAAGCTTTTTATTTTTGTGCTTCTATATCATTATTCAGAACAATATAACAAATTTCTGAAGAACTATTTTACTCTTGAAGTCCAAATTATGGGAAATACAATGTGTAGAAGGCATTTTTTAGGAAATTTGAACCATAACAATTGTAAGAATTCAAATATTGCAGCCTTAACAAATAGGTTTGAAGTAATTTAAATAGCATTCTTCCAATGACTTACATTGTGGTTTTCCCCTGGGAAATGGTGTTTTATATATTTGTTTTGTTTTGTTAGTGCTATCACCTGTGACTGAATGAGAGATAGCCGATTGAAAAGAAAGCCTAATTAAAAGCCAAAAGGAGAATGGAAAAGTAAAGCAAGAGATGTGAAAGTGGTTTCAATTATATTCCCAAAACAAATGTCCTTATTAGAATAAACACATGATCAAAGAATGCCAAGTTCAAATGTTATCTTTGCTTTTTCCAGCAGCAGCTATCAGTTTGTACCCAAATAATACTTGATTATCAGATTTTCTCTTCTTGCTTGCTCGTTTGAAACTGTGGTGTTTTTCTCCTATTCTTTACTGAATTTGATATCAATATTGTTGGGAAATGGCATAGAATATTTATTTTTAGTTAATTTGTCCTTATTTACTGAACATGTGTTTCCATTTAAGATAGTAAAATTATATTGATCTCAATCATTACATTAGTTGCATAGATATAGTTGTTTTACTTGAAACTATGCATATGTTTTGATCTAAGTGATCAGAAATGAACAAAGTTTAATATATTCAACCATCTGCAGTATATAATTAAAATGGTATTTCTTCCAACTGTTACAAAGATGGAAACATGAAAAAAATTGATTATCTAAAATATGAATATATGTTTTAAAAGTGCAAATGAATATATAAATACAGAATTATTATACAATTCAGAGAAATAAAAAGTATGGATCAACTTTTCTTTTAGATTTTGCAACCTATGCCTATGATACTGTAAACATGTCCCAGTCATAAGTATTTGTGAAGTTGCAGGAGATATAAACACTATTCTGAAATGATTGCTAAAAGAGATATAAACATAAATGAGATATAAGCATAAATAAAGCACTCTTTTTATTTTCAATTAATGGTCAGGAGCTCAACAAAATTAACACTTGACAGATTTGCAGCATTTATGTTGCCTCCCTCACCCATTCTAATTAGCTTTATTTCAAATTTCCACCTGCATATTCTAATTATATGATAGGTGCCAAACTTTAAATAGAAGTAATTTAAATGAAAGAGGTTAAAACTGAATTATTGTGCATTTGATGTATTAAAATCCTGTATGTATGACCAGGAGCCATTTAAAACAAATTTCAGAGATTCTATTTTTTACGAACTGCATTGCAGTATTGATAGTTTATTGCTATCCTTAAATTTAGATATTACTTTGGTCAATCTGGAAGAGAAACGTGTACTCACAGAGCAATTAGTCCCACTGAAATATGAATCTTCCAAGAATTCTCATTTTTCAATTAGAACTAGAAAATGTACTTAGACAAAAAATGCTTCAGAAGTACCATAAACCTTTGATCCTTTAAGATTCAGTTCTGAAAGAAAGGCAGTTCAAACATTTTTAGATATGTCTTGAATAAACAATTCCATTCCTTACATTACCAGAATAGGCAAAGATTGGTGTATAAAATTGTACAGATAAGGTATCCAAAATGGAACAAGGGACATTTGCATACTCTTTCATTAGGGTTACAGAATTAGAACATGTTGTCAGATTATAATGATATATAGAACAAACATTAAGGTGTTTTGGTCAGAGATGTTTGCTTTTTGTCAAACTGCATGGACATTTTCCAATCATATTCATTCATCATGTAGCAGTCTAAATGCTTCAGATACATATCTGGAATCTTGCAAATGTTCTTCCAGTTGCATGTTAGAAAATAATTGTGTACATCTAAATGTTTCACTTACTTTTAAATGCCATTTTAAATATATACCTATATGTCTGTATCTGTCTATGAGGGTGAATAGTTTCAAAAGGCAGAAGGATTCAGTGATAGTTATATTTGATGAGCTCAACATTAGTTGGTGATTTGAATGCATTAAGTGTCATCCAGATAAATAAGCAAGGAACAATATTTTTATATTATAGATTTTACTTCACATACTTTACATTTCATTCATTCAGTTGCAGATTATTGAATGATAGTGTGGTTTCTGCGGATGTGAATTAGCCCTAACTTGCTGTTTAAATATAGAAAGTGATAAATATGAGCAAATCTTAAAATAGAGTCTGAATTCATTAAAAAGAAGCATGTAGCATTATCTCACTGTTGGGAAGCAACCAAGAAATGTTTTTGAGTCATGTCTATTATCCATTTTAATCATATTGGGTTCTTTTCAAATATAGACTAGTTGCTTTGCATCATCATCTGCCAGGAAAGTGGGAAATAGTCCAGATAAATGTTCACTTAATAACACTGCACTGTGGATCCCAGATGGAGGCCTCTTTTCACTTAGATCTCAATTACAATCTGCTCCTGCTTTTGGTGCAGATCAACAGTGAGAAAGGGGAAAAATGGTGTACTATAAATTCCTTAGTATTTATATTTTCCTGCAACTTTCTTATTGAAGTTCTGCCAGAATTAATCAGCTGAACCATTCTGATAATTGCAGAATTCTCCCAGAACTTTTTTGGGTTGTTTTATTTATTTATTTGTTGCTTTTGTGTGTGTATTTGTGTCCTAATTTTCAATTAACTTGCTATTCACATATAACAAAAGAGAAAGAGAGAGAGGCCCTGTCGTCAGGTTTAGAAACTTAAAAAAAGCAAGATATACAAGCAAAGGGAGTGGATGAGATCAGTTCTTCAAGGCCAGATTAAAGTGATAAACTATACCTAGGACTTGTGACTAGCTGGGCAAGCCTAATCTTTGTTCCTCTAATTCTTTCTTGAATGGCAATTAATTGTTCCTGCTTCTTTCACTTTTCTCCTTTTCTGGCCCAGGTCTACAGGATGTTGCAGCTAAGAGTTTCTATCTACATAGAAAGATATATCTGTCAGCCTATCATTCCAGTACTTCACAGTCATAGCAGTTGCCCTAGGATCCTTAACTGATAGCAGAAACTACAATATATTCCTTTTGTTTGTTTTCTTGTATCAGGGCTAGTTTTTTCCATACCATTGACCAATTGTATAATGGGATATATAAATACAAATCAGAACTTGACCTAAACAGATTTTTTTTTGCATAGCTATTTTGATAGAAAAAAAATAGAAATATACCAAATCTTATAATTCCTGAAATCTAGTAGCTGATTTGAGAAAATGTCTGAAACAGTTGTTGCCACCTGTTACTTATAAACAACATTACAACTTCTAGTGAGGAATAAATAAAATTCCTGAATTGTTCATGTTTGTGTCAGTTATAAAATTTCATGCGTTGCTTACATGGAAATTTATACACAGAAAGACACATATAGTGAATAATTCTGAAATTGTATGGTTAAAATTGGCTATGATATAGAAATATTATCTGCAGCTTCCACATGGTAGTAATATAAGAATTCTTGGTTTTTACCAATCCATATGACATATAGGACACATTTATTAAATGCTCCCTGCATTTCGTTAGAAATGGGGTTCTAATTATTCATGAATTCATGGAGTTTGTACATCACCATGTACAGTGCTATTTAGTATGAGTTGTGATAATAGAGTTAGAGCAGTGTTGAAATTACATGAGATGATATGGAGAAGCTGGATTAAATACAAGTAATCCTTAATTTATGAACTTTTCTTTAACAACTATACAAAGTTATGATAGCACTGAAAAATGATGTTAATGACAGATGTTCCGGTCCCAAATGTGCTTGTGAGAACTACCTGTAAGCTGTTTGTTACAATATTTTTAAAACCTGTTATATCCAAGACAGAAATGGGTCTTGATGTATTTGCAGTATTTATGCAGAGGTGTTTGCCATAAGTGTATTTCTTTGCTTCTCTTTATTTAAAAGTGCTTCTATAATGCATGCCGCATTGTGAATTATATGGAGAAACTTTTGTGATGCCTCTGAATCACACTTTTCTATTAAGACCATGCTTCTAGTTCTGTCCTTAAAAAATATCTTTATTCTAGGATGGAAATCCTTTTGATGCTGCAATAGGATATCATAATCTTACATATGAAGAGGTCTTGCAGGAGTTGATGAAACACAAAGAACAACTGAAGAAAAAAGATACCCACATTCGTGAACTTGAGGACTACATTGACAACCTTTTAGTACGAGTAATGGAAGAAACTCCAAATATTCTGCGAGTGCCATATGAACCTTCTCGGCGAGCTGGCAAATTTACAAAAACCTGAGCTAATGCCAACACTCCTTGGTATTAATTAAAAGGATGGATTGCTTAGTGCAGTGTTTTGATATTGTGAATTTCATATTCATGCTTTGTCCTGAGAGCATTTGACTCCAAATTTAAGCTAGTATTAGTTCTTGAATCTGTATACAAACTCCGAGTTTTATAAGGTGAAAATGTAAGCTCCTTTTGCTGCAAAACATTCCTTTACCTTGGACATGTATATCCAGGTATGCTTTATTTTCAAAATATTATGGTTAGTTTGGATATCCTGTACAGTAATCATCTAATATACATACTTGAATATTTATTTTGCACTTCAGTTAATCACTTTGGAGTTGCAGCATGCTGCCAGAATGAATGTGCATAGTCAGAATGTGTTTTGCAGCTCTTAATATGAAGGAAAATGTGATTTACTTTAGGAATCACTAGTAAATGAGGGGATAATACATTTTTTCCTGAGAAGGTAGACAGTATTGATCCTTAATGTAGTGCTTATTTGAAATAATTACATCTGTGCTCTTGAAGAAATGAGAGCTTTTCAAATGGCAAATTCCATAATCTATATGGATGGAAAAGAGCTTAATATATTAAGGTACAGTATGCCATTGGTTTAAGCACACATATGCACATTTAAAAAAAGAGAAATAAAGCAGAAGAAACTAGTGGATAATACCTCATTTTTAGATTATAAGAAGTATGGGGGAAAAGCTGATAGGAACGTAACATTCTAAATATTAGTATGTCAGCCAACCTATACATGTGTGTTTAGCGGTTTGTCTGTATACACATAGACATATGTATAAACGTATGCATCATTTGGGTTCTGCAATATTTGAGACAGGAAATTGAGATTAATTTGCTTGTTTTTTCAAATGTAGGAAATTATTTTTTAAAATAGATTGCAATTACTTCAGTACTTTATTCTGTGTCAGAGTCAAATATTGTCCTCCATTAAAAAGCAATGGATATATTTGACTCAGCATGTCTCTGACTAAATAAATTTATGTGCATTGTTGTTTAACTATTTCAAAGTGGTAAATGCAATTCTAATGGAAAATATTGCCATACAGAAAATATTGTTTACTATATTGTAATCAAAAAGTTATTCCTTTATTTTATAAAAAAAATTCAGGCAGAATGATTGCTAGTATGAAGTGCAAATAGGCTTAGACATGAGGATACAGCGTTGGGAAGAATGAAATAACGTTTTTGTTCAGTTTTCTTCTTGATTGTGTAATGCAGATTTTTTTTCATACACAAACATATTAAGGATTTCTATGGAGAAGAATGGAAAATATTTTCCCTTTTTCAGAGTATTAATAAATTTAATTCAGAAAGTTTTGTTTTTGATTATGTATTACTGATTAAAATCCTTTTGTAACTAAATTAGGTTAGCACTATTATCAGAAGGAGCAAGAATTCTTTGTATTTTTAATTCTCCCTACCCACATTAAGCAATGTATTGTTCCATGAACAGAGACCCCACTTGGATTATTAGACTTTGGTTTATTTTTCAGTATGGTTTGGAATAAACAAGTAAAACTTATTAAGTGGAGATATTTTGCATACATTTTTCCTACACAATTCAAATTAAGTACAAATCCTAAGATATGCTTTATTTGTTAACATTAACTTGTGCATTTAAAATAGGTGTTTATTTTCATAGTTTGTACAGAATATATTTTAAAAATCAGCTGTTGATTGAAAGTTTACAGATGTTGCATAGTAACACATTTAATGACTTCCACTTACATTATTTAAATTCTTGGGCCATTGACATTTATTCTGAGATTCTAATGTATTCAATTCATTAGATCCTTTCTACATGTGTTCTTCAAATATACCAGCTGAGTATAAACCACTTTATATGTTGGAAGTTTTAATATTTAACTTTTTAAAACTTCTTAAGTTTTCAAATTAACTTGGTTAATCTTAATGGAAAATATCAACAGGCTGGAGTGTAAAGTGTTTAATTCTTAGAATTAAAATAAAGTTAAGTTTTATGAAGGGTTTTGTTTTTTTTGTTTTGCTTAAATTCTCTATTCCTTTTAATTTCCGTTTGATACAAAAGTGAATTAAAGGATACTTTAAATTTACAATAGTTTATAAAAATCACAAAAAGGCAGGTATATTAAAAGGCATCATAAAATATATTCAATGCAATGTATATAAATAGTAGCAACTCTTTATAATTTGTATATTAAATGGCTTATATATTTATTAATATAATTTAAATACTGCTTTGTGAGCAACTTCTTAAATATCAATTTGTTTAGGTACATAATAACTGAAACTTCAAAAGAGGTACAAGGCTTCCTTTTATAAATGTTTTACAGAAGCAAGCACAAAGTACCAGCTATAATATAAATTAGCAGGGACTTCCTTTAAAAGCATAATTGTTGCGTCTATTTCTCTAACAGTATAGAAGGCAATTCTGTTTAAATATGATGTTGATGAAATCACAGCCAGTATTAATGTGTTTTCAGAGCTTATTACTCTCTGCAAAGCATATAATTCATTAATTTATTTAAAATAGAATGCTTCCTCCAAGAACGTTCCATACAAAATAAATTCTGAAGCATTGTTTAAAATCAAATTACATCTGTTGAAATTACCTGATGGGTAATATTGGGAAAGCATATATTTCACACACCTTTGTGATACCTTGCATGAACATTAATTTCAGCTTAATTACCACTTTTCATTGAATATAGAATTATCCATAGATTATAGTTACCTAATCTATTATTGTTGGCCTTAAATCAAGGGCTATTTGTAATGGTCCAGCTATGAAAACATTGCCCTTTCTGTATTTTGAAGACTTTTTCAATTGGAGTAATACAGTAATCTCTGTTAAGCATTTTAATGACTTCTTCCCTTCTTTTGCTCAGATTCTTAAAATAAATTAAATGTATATTTAAAAGTTATTGCTGCACTGAACATTATTAACAATGTAAAATTGCTATCTATCCAAAGGCCAGTGCACAAGTTATGCATTTGTAGACTGTTAGGAATGCAGATATATGTCTTTGAAAAACATGTTTTAAGTACACTATGTTAATTTCCTCCTGATTTCAAAGCAACGGAGTAGAGGCCACAGCATTGATAGGAAGAAAAAGGCAGTACTTCGTTCCATTAAACTATTTCTCCTCCCATGCATTCTAAACATGAGGTATTTTCCTGGATTTCCTTTTTATGAATGTCCAATGTAGTTCTAGATTTCATTACTTTTGTTAAATGTTTTTAGTATACAACTGCTACAGCACTTTATCTTTTTTAAAATTTTAAAAATAATTTTATGATTGATTTAAATTAAGTAAATTATCACACCCTAAAAGATTGTTAGCCCAACTATATCTTCAAAATCAAGTATCAAAAGAATCTCAATTACATATACTTTATCATAAATGATCTATCCGATTCATTCAGCATGGATGATTCCAGTTTTTATGTATTAATGTGATAAAATGCATAAACCTGTATAGCCATATATTAAATCCCCAAACAGGTCTTGCACTGAGAAAAGTTCAGCTATTTCATTGAACTACGATTTTTCTCCACAAAATGGAAAGTCATTATGTAAGTTGCGCCTATGTGTGTAGAATGTGAAAATGCATGAACCAGCAGTTTTGTTGCATTTGTAGTCTTCAACACTTTTTAAAAATCAAAATTGTAATCCTAAATTTTAGATTTTGTCCCAGTGGTTGCTGCATGTTAAGCACTAATAAAATACCACTGTGTACTCCAGTCACTTGTGTTGTCGTCATTTTAATATATTCAGTATATGCTACATTTTACTATGCCATACCAAATAAATAGATGAAATGCATTTCATGCAATAAGATTTAAAAATTTCAATTAATTGGTCAGTGCCTGGTAAACCCCTGCAACAGGAAAAAAGCTGGGTACTGGACTCAATGGTTCCCAAGCAGCCTCTTTTTGAAGGTGGATCCTAGTTGGCAGCATGATTAACAGAACCCTCTTAGCAAATGTGCCAGAAATGATGTTTGGAGCCTTAGTAGAAAAAGTCAAAACACAGAACTGGTTACATGGTTACATGCTCATAGCTTAGCTAATAAGAGTAATAAAGTGGGTTCACTGTTATCATATCAGCAAGTTGTCCTGCAGTCTTGTTTAAGTTTAAGACTCATTTGGAGAGGAGTCATCTCAACTGGCTACTAAAATCAGTTTGCACAATACTTCATTGCCAGAGAAGTGCCACAGTCTTGACTCACCAACATTTTTAGGGTGACTAGGGCACTGCCTTCTCATATTATTGGTATCCTCTTTGTATGGATGAACTCCAAGGAATTGGAGAGGGTGAGATCATCTGCCATGTATAAATAGTTTGGATCCCTGGCTTTTGTGAGGAGTGAATGGGGAAGTGACCACTTGGATCCATGAGATTGATGATCCCTTTCTGTGTGAAGGGAGTTGCCTACAGTCAAGCAGTAGATTGTGGAATATTCTCTGAAGATGCCATCTCTGGATCCTTTGATCCTAAATTAATATTGACTAGTCTCCAAACTTTTCCTTTGGGAACCTGGATGGAATTGATACACCTCTTCTGCTCCTGGTTTTTGATAGCATTGACCATAGTAATTTACTGGACTACCTTTGAGGATCAGGAAGCCTTATAGTGGCTCTTCTCCTTCCTAAGAAGATGGTTATGGTCTGCAGTTATGGGGAAGGAATGGTCAACCCAGTGGCCTCTGATATATGGGATACCTGTAAAGAGTAAGAGGTTGATCTTGACGGAGAAGATCGGAGAGAGACAACAAGCAAATAAGCACTACAGAAGCCCAGATTGAGGTTTGGGGGAAGGGGGGTGGAGAACGACAGAAGTATCCCAGTCAGACTCCTAAATTCACATGAAGATAGAAGGACAAGCACATTCTGACTTGCAAAATTCTGTTACAATAGCCAATCTTAATAAAAAAAGTAGTTTTAGAAACACCTGGTATCTTTCTTGGTGTAGTCTACACCAAGTACTTAGGGGGCTGCTCCCCCCATGCATTTAACATCAATATCAAAGCACTGGGAAAGGTCTAACAGCTTGAGCTATGTTATTATCAGTATGCTAATGATGTCCAGATATGCATCAGTTCCCTCGGCCATAGAAATATTCTCTTGATGTTCTTTCCCAGTGCATGGCGGCTGTGACAGTCTGGAGTGGGCAGAACAGGCTGAAGTCAAATCCAAACATGGCGGACTTGCTGTTCTCCCAACAATCACAGCCTGGTGAACAAATCTTTCTCAACCTAAGACAGCTAGATGTTTTACAAAATGGGACTTGGTTCTCTAGAGACAAATTGGAATATACCTGCTTTTAATTATCCCTAAGAGAGTCCAGCCTGAGCAGGGAGATGGCTGATCCTTCACTGACATCACCTTTATAGAAGAGGAGATATTTACCATCACTGCTTATGTGATCAATTGTACAATATATTTCTTTCTAAGGCCTGATTGCCCCTCTAGGCTTCAGAAAATGCAAGAGACATGTTTTAAATTATCCAGTCAGAATGGTAAGTATGTTACAAAATGTGCTTTTAGCTGTAGAGTACTAAACACAACAAATTCAGTTCTAACCCATGATTATCCACCTATCATTAAAGATTTACTTATTTTTTCGTTAGTATACAATAACTTTATTCCAATATATTTTTATATTGACTGCATGTATGTTAGAAATAGAATATAGTCATCAGCAAAATTACCTTTAAAACTGCATCACAAACTTCATATAATGATATATGCAGTTTTGTACAATTTTACATATATACATTCAATTATTATGTTTCTGAATAGTAAAACAAATTATCTGACTCTTATAAGATTTTCAGTTTAATTACTTTAAAAATAAAGAATATGATCACTTTAAAGGACTTTTAGTCAATTTCCAATTGTGCAAAGACAGGAGCACTTTCATTTAGCAGAGACTGGTTTGAATTCATTTTCTCAGCTTAGATACCTACCTGTGTGTACTTAACTATGGTTCTGCTTAATTAAAAAACTATTGTACTCTGATTGCAAGATGGTAGGAAGTTTAGCAGATGGGTTCGTAACTAAGGCACAGCCCATAAGACATATGCCTGGGGCAAATGCATTGCTTCAGCCTGCTGTCACCTCAGTTTTTGAGATTTCTAGGACACTTTTCTAAACCTTTAGGGATTATACTCACCAGTATCAGCAGGCAGTGTCTTATGAAATCTGGTGACATAGGCTGAATGTGGCAGACCAGATTGCCTCTATTGTTGCCCCGTGTAGGTGCCTGCCGCATAGTGCCAATAGCTTTAACAAGGAAAAACA